ATGAGTGAAAACTCCTGACCCTTTCTATAGCCAGGGAAGGCTCCAGCACTTGACTCCTAGCCATAAGGAGGCCCTCAGAAGGGCCTCGTCTTGATGTGCCTTCATTTCCCACAGCTAGCTCAACAGAGCCGCCCTGCAAAAGCACTGCTGCATACTAAGGGGCCAGGCCTGGAGAAAGGCAGGGGCCTTTGTCTGCCCTCAGAGGCTCCCTCCTGACTGAAAATGCGAACCACCAATTTAAGTGATCTTCAATCCTCAGAGGTGCCATATAACCTAATTAAGGGGGTTCTTATTGTGCCCATATAACACAGGAAGAAACAAAGGCTCTCCCCAATACCAGTTCTTATATGAGCTGGAACTTGACCTTGACCTTAAAAGCCAGAAAACCTCCCCATTCAAGCAGGCCCCATCACCTAAATTCCTAGGTCTGATTTTTAGGATTGAATAGGACAATAAACCCCCAAAGTTCCCTGCCACTAGTCAATGTAGACTGGTAGCGACCCTATAGGGCAGGGTAGAACTGCTCCTGCTGAGTTTCTAAGACTGTAACTCTTTAAGGAAGTAGAAAGCTCATCTTTCTCATAAGCAGCAGCTGGTAGTGTCAAACTGCTGATCTTGTAGTTAGCAGTCCAACGCTAAACCACTGCACCACCAAGGCTCTTTGATTAGGCAATAGAACAGTGTAATTAATACTGACTCAGAGTTGTGTTCTCTGATCCCTTCACTCCCAGATCTGCACTCTCCTTCCTCCCTAACATGACTATGCCCTTCAGCCCCTTTCCATAGTCTGGGTCAGCCTTTACCACTATGGGATTCCAATTGTTCCTTCCTAGGAAGTCACAATTTAGGAATGACATTTCTTATATCTTGTTATTAAATCGTTGATCTGAGAAATCCTTGAACTCTTAACTCTATTTCAAACTGTGTGAGGCATGAACTGCGCCTAAAAAGGTCACTGTTCTTTTAGGATCTAATATGGACAAGCCTCAGTTTTCTTGGGCATTCTTTCCCCACAATCGCCCATCTTCCTCAATTAGACTTCCCCAGATGATTGTCGGAGTCACAGAGTGAACTCACTTTCTCTCCTGAATGTATCTGTAGTGAACTGTCATCTATGTTTGCATCTTTATAAAACCAGAGAATCCTTGAATAGATAAATATGTTTCTGATAGCCCTGCCCTCGGCCCAACATGGACAGACTTTCAATAGCTCAAAGGGAATAATACCACATTCATTCAATGGAGGCTGGTCCTTCCCACTGCTGAAGTTTTGCTGGTTCAATGGCCTAGGGCAGGTTAGCAAAATTTTAGACAGAAAAGGCAATCCTGTCCCTCATAACAATTTAAAATGTATTTGATAGCCATAAATATATTTTTTACAATCAAATGAAATCACCATTATCTGAAAATTAAACAGTGATACTTTTATTTTCATTTTCTGTCTTCCTTCTGAGCCACATATATGTACCAAAAGAGTCACATATGGCTCAAGAGCAGCAGTTTGCCACCCCCTAGCCTAAGGGCTGAGGCTAAATAGTCAAGCACCGTATGTTCAGAATCTAGGTGAGGTCTCAAACTATATAATCTTCAATGCCATGTCACTGTATTATCTATACCATAGCAAAACCTAGATACCACTAGGTCAATTATGGTGGCCTACATGTGGTGTGGTCAAAGACTATTGAAAGTATCATGGACTGAGGGAAGAGCAAACAAATCTTTCTTGGATGAAGCACAAAAGATTGCTCCTTAGAGGCAAGGATGGTGAGACCTTTGTGGAACGTATTTTGAACATATTATCAGGAGAAACCAGTCCCTAATGAGGAACATCGTGCTTTGTAAAGTAGAGGGGCAGTGAAAAAGAAGACCCTCGATAATATAGTGACCACACAGTGGCCACAGCAAAGGGGTCAAACATTCGAACAACTGTGAAGCTGGCAAATAACCGGGCAGTGTCTCCTTCTGTCATGCGTAAGTTTTCTATGAGCTGGAACTGACTTGACAGCACCCGACAGTCACTACACGGGAAACTGTTGGCCAGCTGCATACCTTTGGCTGGGACTTCAGGAGGAACATCAGCTTTTTCCTTCCACCTCTTGCCTTTCTTGGGTTGCAGTGGGGCTAAGCTGGCCAGGCTGGTGACAGTTTCCCCAGAGCTGTGGAAGAAAAAGATCCCGGGGAAGTCAAATACACTGCACCAAAGGGGAAAGGTTCAGGAAGCAGTAATTTGTGTGGCTCACAAGGTACTTAGGCTGGATTCAATCCAGGCTTATACCCAGGGCCCTCGGAGGTCCAGTACTGACACCTGGACCAAGATGACTAGTTGTCGTGGTGATTCATAATCTAAAGACGAAGCCTCCTAGTTTGCTTTTTGTTTTTTTATCTCTCACCCAAACTTTCAAATAGACTTCTCTTTCATGTTCCAAGAGCAGACAATAACAAAAAAATGTATCTGTATGATTTAATGGGAAAAAATGAAAGAAAACAAAACACAGGCTTTTTTTTTTTCATTTAAATTTCTACAAGTTGAGACTGCAAGTGGGTGGAAGGCCAAATCTCCCTGGGAGATACCGTTTTCATGTTAACACAGTCGTCGAGTATCTTGAAACCTGTACGCTTTAAGCAAGTTACTGAAATAAAATAGCCCAAGCCCATTGCCACAGAGTTGATTCCTACTCATAGTGACATATGTAGGGTTTCTAAAGTTTTATAAATCTTTACCAGAGCAGCTTTATAAATCTTTCTCCAGAGGAGCGCTGGTGTATTTGAACCACAGACTTTGGGGGTTAACTCTTCAATGCTTAAATCTCTGAAATCTATGAAAGCAAGATTCTCTTGCGTGAGGGAAACATTCCTCTAATTTGCAAATTGTTTATTAAATCATTAAAAACAAAAAAACAAA